TAAGAATCACTCACACCTGTCCCCAAAAACAATTAACCACACTCGGTCGGGTGATTAAAAACAAACAATTGCCTTTTCACACTTGATGACAACCAGTTTCTATTTTAAAAGCACATCTCTAAATATGAAATTGTGCTCGGATTTCAAAGGCAACTCTGAGTTTCCCAAGTCTTAAATTCCACCACCTTGAGCCAAACTCAGCGAACCGTTCTTCCACCAGCGTCTGTGATGAAGACCTCAGTCGCTCACAGTCATCTCTGGCTACTGATGCTCAAACCTGAGGATAAGGTTTGGTACCTTGCAAAGTGTGAGCAGCCAGGCACACTCTCCATCTGTTTCCAGGGCTTGTGGTTTCCTCGGCTATCTTGGTCTGAACCCTGGGACAATAGGGCCATCGTGGGGAGGGAAACTTGGTCCACTTCCTGCCTTTGGACAACAGAAGGAAACCAATGCTTCCACGGACCTCCGCTTTCCAGGACAGCCACGGACAGGACGGAGGCACAGGTGCCTCAGGTTCATGGCCACAAGCTACTTACTCTATGTATATTTCTAATGAGTCTGACGCTTCCTGGAGTTTGAGAAGCGGAGCCCGCTGAGGGTTACAATCAGCCACACTGAAAGCGGTGAGAAATAATAGTGGGCAAGAAATGTAAGAGCAGGAAAAATGATCAAAAAGCAGACAGAAAGATTTGAGGAAAAAAAGACTCTGGGGCCATTGAGTGAAGAGCTACAGCATTCTTGATGCCATCGAGAGTCCTCGGTGCTTTTAATAGAATCTGAAACCTAGTGCTTGAAATGATGGTGAGATTTCTTCGCAGAAAGTTAAACACATGCCCAGCACACTCTGCTTCAGAAAGTAGGAAAATGGGCGATATAATTTAGAAATATTCCTTACGGGTAGAACTTAACTCTTGAGAAAATTAGGACTGTCTTATCTCCCAGAGGCTCCAGATGGCTGAAATTTTGCTGTACACATGCCATATACACAGTACATGTGCATGTTCACATTTTGTAGCATTTCTTTTGACCCACTTTATTTTTTTTATTGAAGTACAGTCAGTAACAATGTGTCAATTTCTGGTGTACAGCACAATGTCCCAGTCATGCATATACATACATATATTCGTTTTCATATTCTTCAACCCACTTTAAAAAGTCATTCTCAAGTTCTAGAACAAGAGTTTGCAAACTGTTTCAGTAGAGGCTCAGAGAGCAAAGACTTTTAGCTTTGGAGGTCATGTGGTCTCTGTCACAGGGGCTCAGCTCTGCTGCTAGAGCTCGGAGCAGACAGAGACAGTCTGCAAGGAATGGGTGTGGCTGTGTTCCTAATAAAAGGCCACTGACAAAAGCAGACAGCTGGCTGAACTTGGCCCATGAGCCCTGGTTTACCAACCACTGGTCTAGAACAAAGGACACGGGCCCTGGACTGGGCCAGACCTGGATCCAAACCTGGTCTCCACCACTGTGTTACCCTGAGACTTTGGTTCCCTCTTTCATAATATGGGGGTAATGATACATACCCACTCTTATGGGTTATGATGAGCATCAAATGGAAAACTTGGTAGAGAACTGATAAAAATTAACTTTCTTCGCCCAGTAGTTACTCTTGCCACCTGTATGATTCTTTTCTTGGTTCTTAATCCACATGGTTCTTTTCAGACAATGGCCTTTCTTGAACATCATCTCATTGCCTCAAAGCCTCCTCGTGCTCACATCCCAAAAGGCTGATAGACACCATCAACCGCTCTACTAATAAGGAAACCAAGACTCATGGAAGCAGATATTGTAGCCAGAGGGGTAAAGCACACGCTTAAAACCAGCAACTCCTGGCTTTGGGTCTGCTGATCACACAAACATGGACACACGTGAATCTGTAGACACTCCCACTGAGAAATCTATCCTTGGATACAGAAGAGGCAGTCGACCTTTGTGATGAGGGGCACGACGTATGGGTACCAGCCCGGCCACTTCCTGGATGTATAACCCCAGGTGAGGCACTGGACCGCTCAGTTTGAGTCTCTGCATTTGTGGAATGGGGTTAATAAGAGGATAGGTTCTAGAAGGTTCTACCTCTAAATGATAAGTTTAGTATAGCGCCGTGCACATACTAAGTGTTCCTTCAATCTATGTAGAATGTGGTTGTGAGGATTAGCAGAGAACGGTATTCTCAGCCCCAGTGCCTGACATGCAGAGTGCTCCATCAAGGTCACTGCTTTGTTAGTGACAGGTCAACACACACACACACACACACATGGCTGTGAGCTCCACGTGGGCAGGAACTGTATCTGACACAAAGCAGGTGCTCACTGAAGAACTGTCCGTTGATGAACAAAAACACTCATGCATGTAAACAGATTAATTGCAAACAGCCAATCGCTGGGCTGGGCTACCCAAGGTCCATGCAGCTCTCCATTTGTTTCCCAGAAGGAGACAAAAAGAGGGTTGATCCAGGCCTGGGATTATGAAGTTTTGCTGGCCATTTGCTGGATTCCAGAACACCATCACCCACACTGCTCAAAGAACCACACCAGGGCAGCCCCGAGCTGTTCAGCACCGCCGCGACTCCAGGATCCCAGGAGGTGACCAAGGCTGGGGTTTCCACAGAGAACGACCCTACCAAGGTCGGGGTTGGGGAGCAATGAGGAGCACAGTCTCTAACACACACAGCAGACGAAACTGAAGCAGCTATGGAAGCTTGAGACGGTCCCTTGAACTTGAACTGCCAGGATGAGGTTCTGTCTTTGAGGAAAGACAGTGCATGTATCTGGAAGGAAAAAGCCAACAGATGCCCCACTGTTCAGCATGAAGGGGGCGATTCAGCTCAACAGGGTCCCAGCCAGTCCCTTGGGCTCCTTCACGGGCAAGGCCACCGCTAAGCCAAGAAGGTAACAGCCTGCCTCCGGTGGAGGAAGGGGCGACTCAGGCTGCAGCACACGCGGCCCTCTCAGAGCCATCGCGCTGTGGGGCGCCTGGCTCCCAGGCAGCTGCCTGCACTAAGGCAAGCCAAGGAAAGCCCTTGGAACTTGGACACCCGTGTCTAAATGAGGGTGGAGGCTGTGACTTCTTAGCGTTACATAAACTAACAGCCTGGCTCCTTGGCCCTGAAACAGAATGAGCCAATGTCTGCCGCTGGCCGTGCAAAACCAAATCCTCGGTAAGCCCGCGGAAAGAGTCCACGGAGGCCCAGATGTAGCCTTTGGCTGGAAGAACTCAGTTTGCTCAACTGACGCATCTGTTTTTCATTAAATGCTGTTCTTGATTTGGTTGTGGTTATGTTGTTGTTGTTTAAAGGTGGTGGGGGGATTAAACCACCCTTCCGGAAAGGAGAAGTGTGTGTGTGTGTGTGTGTGTGTGTAGGTAGACAGCTAGACAGGCAGACACACACACGTGGTAAATGTTAATATCCCCATTCTACTGATGGGCATATTGAGGATCAACAGGCTGAACTGCTAATAAATAACCCAGCCAAGATTCAAACTCAGGCATGATGGCTCCACCACCCAGTTTTCCCCACCACGCTGTGGCATAAGGGCTAACATTGATATTTTGTGCTGCCTTGACACCTGGGGGAAACCAGGAGGGACTCAAATGGCCTGAATGTCACCACCCTACCCACTCTGCTCCCCTGGATAAGGTGCCCTAGCCAAGTGGCCCCCCTTACTACAGGGACCAGGCGCAGTTCCTGCTTATCCCTGCTTCAGTTCCCTATCAGTCCTTAGAATTATTCAAACAAGACAATCACTTCCTCTTGTGGGAACCAGTGGTCACCTCGCCCTCTTGGGACTACAAAGTCTGCCTCCCATAGCCTCTGGATGGCCACTCTGTTCTCTGGTGCACCCCCTGTGTGGCCCATCGTGGCACATGACACTCCCCTCCCTGGGTCTAATGAGCTGCTGCCTGTCTCATCTGTCGGCCCTGGGTGCTGTGTGCTCAGCCATCCTCGGGTCCCTGGGATGGGAATCCCTGCCTCATACCCTGCATCGCTTCCTGAGAAAGGGCAGCCTGCTAAGACACTCGCAGAATGCGTTGTTGCCAAGTCCCCCTCAAGAGGTCATCTTGCTAAGTGCCTTCTCGCAGGTGCCCGAAGAGGGCTCTGGCATTCAGATAATTGAATCTCAATTCATCCACAGACTGGCCGCTGACATCACCCAGTGGTCCTTCTTCTTCCAGCACTCTGTGTCATCCTACCACGTGTCTGTGGGCAGGACCTCTGAACTTTGCAACCTACACCTTTCTGCATGGAGCCCAGGCAGGAGCCATGGAGAAATCGTGAGCAATCAGTAACAAGAGCGGCGTGCAGCGCACCTGGAGAGAGGGGACAGTGGATGCAATTAGAGGCGAAGCCCTGATTAGCTGAACTCAACTAACCAGAACCATCAATTAACTGAAATCTCTTTTTGTTTCCTCTCAGGAGACCCCAAGCTCAGGAACTGAGAACACTGCAATTTAAAAAGAAAAACTGTGTTCCAAGGTTCGACTCTGATCCAGCCCAGTCTCCTTTGTCATCGAGTGAGCCACAAATGTAACTTGAAATTTAACTGGAAAAGGAGAATGAAATGGGATTGATTTGAATACTTTATTTAACCTAATGTATCCAAAATATCATCATCTCATCACATAATCAAGATGAAAAAATACCAGTGTGATACCTCTTTCGTAATAGGTCTTGCGAGAGCACAGTCCAGCTTGAACCAGCTGCCATGTCAAGTGCCAGGCAGCCCCACGTGGCTGGTGGCCACCACCCAGGACAGTACGGCTAACATCTGAAGTGACTGCTTAGGATGCTGGTTTTGGGTGTTTATAATAAGTCGATCATCAGTCCACAATCGCTTGCTAAGTGTCTCCTCCTACCAGGTGCATCAGCACTGAAAAGCTAAACTGAGACGGGGCTTCCAAGGCCTCTCTCTACAGCCAGGCCTTTCCCAGCAGAAAGGCGGGTGCAGTAGACCCTGCCTACTACGGCCTCCATCCTGCCACTGGCCTCTTTCTCAGACTCAGAATTCGCGAGGATCGGCCCCACCTTTCACTTAAATAAACACACTTTAGAGCCCCCCCACCAAGCCACCAAAAAGTAAATCCTTCTCTAGAAAGGCCTTTTCCTACTGACCACTCAGGAACGTGCAGAGTTTAGTGGTGTCTACAAAAACCTTCCCCAAAGGAGCCTGCTTTGCTGTTCCTCAGGGACAGTGACAAATCCCACAAGCAAAAAGATCAATTAATTACGAAGCCAACAAAATCCAGCTGCTGGCCACCTGGAACAAGGGGCGGTCCTAATCTAAGTAAGACAGGTATCATGATGAGAAAGCTGAGATCAGAAACATGAATGAACTACCCGCCCGCTGCACTGGGAATTTAGGAGGAAGAGGACAGCAAGGAATAGTCACCTCTCCCAAATTTTAATCATTCGTTAACTGTTTCGATTTTGACCTATCTACACAGCGTCTCATTTACTTACCAAGGCTCTTGAAATCAGCTCATCTGTCTTTTTCTCTAATGAACTAATTTTAAAAGGAAATGTTACCCATAAATTGGAGGGAAAACAAGTATAATTTTTGTCATCATCAGAGTGTAACTAGAAACATAAATGGATAGCAATTAATTTCTTTAAAATGTATCCGTGCACTGCTGAAAATGATGCTGTGCTCTGCCAGTTCACTTTGAAAAAGGCTGTCATCAGAACTCGAAAGCTGGGCTTTGCCGGGCTGGCTGGGAAGACTTTGTGTGGGAGTCGGGGGAGGTGGGGCACACAGCCTGGAGAAAGGTGCAGAGGTGGACGCGGATGGAGCACGGGGCATGTGTTGCAGAGAGGAACCTGACCCCTGCGTAATTAAATCACCACAAACAGATTCAGTTACCTGCAGTGGGTTTCACACGCTGGGAGTACAGACTGATACAGTTTGGAAATATTTTCAAAGCCAGGACTGAAACAATAGTGTTCTGAAACTCTCAGTTAACCAGAAAACAATTAACCTAGGTCCCCACTGCCGCTCCCTAGTGTTTCCCAATACTGGTGTTTAATTGCACTTTTCTGGCGGTGGTGGGGGAATCCTATTTTCTGGAGGATGGTGAATTCTGAAGCAGATGTGCAAGGTCAGGGGAAGGGGAGGGGCAAGGAGTAAAAGAGATGGGCAGTCAAAGGCCAATAAGATGATGCTGACACTGAAACTCCCCAACAGAGAGAGAGGGAGGAGAGGAGAGAGAGAGGAGAGAGAGAGAGAGTGTGTGTGTGTGTGTGTGAATCCTCCCAGGGCCATCAAAGAGACACTCATACCCTGTAAAAGGCCAACTTCTAAATCGGTCAGGGCCAGTCTAGCCAGGCTGAATTCCACAGAGAAGAGCCAGCCTGACCTTTGATCCAGCTGAGCCGACATCCCCCAAACACAGGGGCTTCTGCATGTGTGCCAGGTCAGCCCCCCACCCTGCCAGGGGCTGCCTCCTCAGGGCCTGGAAACCTTGACAGCGACAAGCAGTGCCAGAGAAGACGCTTGCCTGTCCTCCCGGATGAAGTGCAGTGAGGCTTTCCTGCCTGCACAAGCCAGAGACGATGCTTTAAAAAGCCCTTGGAAAAGAAAGTCATATATATTCTGCAATACGATATTCGTTAGATGCTATCATGGCATTTTATAAGGTCATATATAACGCCAGCTGTAGCTGTAAAAAAATTTATTATTCAGCCCCAGAAAGGCATATAAATCCCTGCAAAGTGCAGGTTTTTTTTTCAAAAAGTGGTTCAGTTCTTCCTCCTCTTTGCCTCCATTCATTCCTGGGAGATGGTGGCCTGCGTTAAACGTGCGACACTGCAGTTCCACCCAAAGCAGGTCCTGGGTACGAGATTCCATGTTGCTAAGTCCAGGGAAGGTCCCCTCCCAAGGCTTGGTCTTCTGGGCAAACAGGTATGGGAGGCTCCTGAAGATCTCCATGCCACCTGCTCCTTGCCAATCTCCTTGTCAATCTCCCAAGATACTGTACAAACTCGTGTGCAATGAAGGATTTCATCTTCCCTCCGAACTGGTTCTTTATTTACACATTCTTACCTCAATTTTTTCTGTGCCTTCCCTCTCCACCCCAACTGTTCAAAATCCTGCCCCACTCACTCGACATACAAATGGCCCTCACATGTGTCCCCTTCTCTCTTCTCCCACTGTCTCTGCACCAGTCATGGCCTTCATCAGAGCTCCTCTGGACTGAACACCCCTTTTCTAATCCCTCTGCCTCCAGGCTCAACTTTCCAATCTGTTCCCCAAGCAGCAGCCAGAACGTTCTTTCTATGCTGGTCTTAGACCACGTTATTCTCCTGCTCAAACACCTTCAGTGGCTCCCCATTGCCTACCCGATAAATCTCAAGCTCCCTGAATGGTCTACATTATCTGGGCCTGTGCATCCCTCATCAGGCCCATCTCTTGCCATTCTCCACTCCTCTCCCTGATCACCATTAGTGCCATATTTTTTGTGCTTTTCTGATAGAACCCATCATTTCATCTCTGTTCCCTCTGTTGGAAATGGCCTGTGTGCCCCCTCGTCCCTGCATCTCCTGACCTACTTTCTCTCACCCTTGAGGACCTGGTGTGGTCAACGACTCCTCCAGGGAGCCTTCCAGGAGTGTTCTGGGTTGGACTGGGTGCTCCTCCATTATCATAGACCTGAGAACATTCCA